TTGGAATGTTACTGTAAGCTGAGTTTAAATCTAGGTCCGACTGGCAACTTGAAGTGAAGGCTCTTGAACTATGCCCTGAAAGGGAGATGTCCCCCGAGCTAGACAAATTCATACGTTCTATTAGTTTCCAATGGAGCCCAGATGCAAAGAGCATTGGATGTGTTCCCCAGCGCAAGGCGAGGTTCTCCTATGGTGCGCCAGTCAAGCGCTTCGTTGAAAAGGCCACAATTCAGCTTCAAGTGAAAGACTCGCCGCATGTATTCGAGATCGCCCGCTTCGACGAGTATACGTACGCGGCTGGTCACTGGTCGACGACCCCGAAAGTGTCCTGGGGCGCATCGTTGTTCAATCCTAGTTGGGACGATATACTAGGTGAACAGACTGATGTCAAGCCTGTCGACGTTTTCAAGGAGGGGTGTATGTCGGTCTTCTTCCCCCCGCCAGAGGATGACGAGGAACAGACGGACAAGCCAAAAACAGACGATGAGATCCGCAAGGAGGCTGAAACCCGAAAGATAAACGAAGAGAAGCAGTTGAGCGTTTTCATGAGCGCTGTTCAGAAGATTGCGCGGATGCTGGCGAATCCTGGTGCTGAGATGCCCGAGGTCCTCGAGACTGATCTCGGAAGTCTGTTCTAGTCGAATCGGCAAAATCACACCAAGCTTGTTACATCTTGTGGGACCATAAGGGCGATTTCAAAAAAAAAAAAAAAAAAAAAAACCGAAGAAAACAACAAAATCGACACAAAAAGACAGAAAAAACACAAAAAAAACAAAAAAAAGAAGGAAAAAGAAAACTACCGTCTGGCTTGCTTATCGAGCCAAGATCATTTTTTAAGTATGTAGTAATAAAAGTCCGATTCATATTTGAAGTTATTCCTGGTTTCCAATATCGGAGAACCCCTTCGGCTCTGAATTTGTGGTCCTTTCCTCTCGTTCTTCCCACTGTACTCGATCTATCTCGAGTTTTCTTCCAAAATGGGGAGATATAAACCTTGTATATGATTTCATTTTTGGATCTATGGGAAGTCATGTTGGCCTATTCGAACCACGTGGGTCGAGTTTAGCCCGCAGCGGCCTGAGGAGTACCTTCTGAGAGCATCTTCTGCCTCAATGCTGTAGGAGAGAGGTTAGTAATCGAAAGAAAGAAAAAGGGCCTTGTAAGGAAATAGGAATCCCGCCTCCTATTATCCAGGAAAAGGGCCAACTCACTCTCTTCTACAATGCGCAGTTGCGAGCTCTTGGTCTGTACGATCTTCTCCAACTCCTGCAAGTTTGCCTCCAAGCCCTTGATCTTAACATCGTAAAATGCAATCGCCTTTGGCGCAGTCTGAAAAAAAAAGGACAAATCGTCAGCCGGACCAATTCCTACCACCGACCTCACTAAATGTAGCACCTCCACCACATACCTTTTCAATATAGAATCCAGTTCCGACATCAACAAGCACCTTCTCGCGATCCATCAACCGGCCCTTAACATACAGCGAGCTGGTGAGGGGCACGAGGATATCATCGCGGCCATCAGTTCCCTTCTTCTCGTTTCCAGTTACGCCGTCATTGATCGAGCGTACGCAATCGCGGAACTTGGCTTGGGCGGCGCGTAGCTTCGTGTGCGAGGTGGTCAGGTGTTCCAATTCGGAGGTGAGACGGGTTTGGAGTGCGCGGAGCTGAGGAACGGAGAGAGAGGCGAGGTTGACTGATTCCAAGTGGTTAGCTGGGTATTTATGTCCATATGACACGGAGAGCCGGAAGCCGGCGCTGCAGTGTCATGTTGGTGTGGGGGGGACGCACTTCCTTGCGGAGCTCCGTCTGAGGATGGGGCGTTTTGTGACATTTTGGAATTCGGGAGGTAGAATAGGGTAATTTGAGGGGATCAATTTCCGGATCGTCGGTTTGTGTTATTGTAGATCAGGTCCTCGCATTGGGACTGTATAGGTGTATATAGGTAGGTGGTGGGGGGGCTTCAGAAAACTCCTGGGTCGAAGGCGTGGCGATTGTGGTGATAGTGGCGGGTTGTGTTTATGCACACGCACCTGACCACCTCACTTCCTTCTCTTACTTGTACAGACCCATATCTTTGTCAATGACCAAAGACTTAAGTATAACCCTATATTGTGTTTAAACCTTTTAAATTTGCTAAAGGAATTTATCGGTGTATTATCCATATATTCATTCTCCATGACTACTTGTAGGTAGAATGTTATCTGCGGGGAAAAAGATCACTCCGAAGATTCCCAGTTCTCCGCTCCGCTCCGTAATCCTTCTTCACCACATATCAATGGCTTCAAGACTGGCAGCATGTGAAGCTTGCCGAAAAGCAAAGGTCGCCTGTGATCATAAGCGGCCGGCATGTACTCGGTGTGTAAGTAACGATAGAGCTGCAATCTGCATTTACCGAACGACTCCGTTCAAGAGAAAAAGGGTGGAGAGTTCTACACCCCTCCAGTCTCCTAGGTATGCATGCAATACGTGATTATATTCGCTTTATTCCCACATGCTTACCGAATCTGCAGTCGGCTACCTCCGGCCCAACCATCTTTCACTCCAAGGAATAATCCCTATCCGAACCCCGGCTTTCTAGGATCCTCTAGCCATGTCGCTATTTTCAATGAAATTTCCCCCCAAGACTATCATGCATCCGATACATACCATCCTTCTGAGGAGATGACGATGCTAGTGCAGGCCCAGTCCACTGGCGAGAACATCTTGTTAATCCAAGGCGCGGATATTCTCAGGCAGCTATTAAACACATTTCCCCTACGCGCCATGAAGGATTTTGTTACCTTCTGGCTAGCAACGGGAGCGAATTTAGCTCTGGCAGAGCCTTTTACCGAGAAATGCACTGAAGACATGACACGCCTATTCACGTCCTTCTCACAGGAAGAGAACTGGCATTTGGCATATGCCCAACGTCTAACTCAAAATTCCCGGGAACCTTTGAAGTTTAGCAGCACATCCGATATCGAGACTTTCTCTGCACAGTTCCTTGACCAGAAATTTCGCTGGGAAAGTCTAGGTATTTTCCTCTCTGCTGTGAGCCGAGCAGCAATCGATATATCATTTTTTCCGCCATTGTTCAAAACCGAAAAGGATCAGTTTATCCTTCGAAGGCTTTCTACAAAGCTCAGTGATCTTGCGTTAGATATCGCGCTCTCGCTGGATTGCTTAAACGACCTACAACTGGTTCTACAGTATGAGAACTTTATTGTACACACCCATGTTGATGGAGACCAAAGTAAGAATTCTCCATTAGTATTGTTCGTAAAACCCGCAGCTTATTGAGAATCCAGGCTATCATTCGTGGAGTAGACTTGGAGATGTTGTATCGTCTATGTTTGCACTTGGCTACCATGAGAATGTCGAAAAAACCAAGCCACCAATTCCGAATTTTCTTGCGGAGCTACGAAAGACAGCTTGGGCCACCACATACTCGGCGGACAAGAATGTGGCTATATTCCTTGGTCGCCCACCTCGGATGAGCAAGCGGTTCTGCCATTTTCAAGTACCTTTGACCCCAACAAGCTCGGATCAGGTTTGGAACACGTCATATGTTGAGGACGAGGTCGTTAGATGGAAAACAGATACGCCAATTTGCTATATGTCAAGTATTCGGTGGGCGACCCTCTGCGCTGCACTGAAGGAAGATGTCCTCGAATTGCTCCGGTCAAAGCAGCGCGAGAATTTCAATGAGAAAGCTAGGTAAGCTAGAGCCATATAACGTGTGATTCCCTTGCTCGTACTAAGTTTTGACATAGCATCATCCGGCAAAAAGCTGAAACTCAATGGTCCAATCTACCTCCTCGCTTCCGACTTTCGGGTGCTCTGAAAGAATGCTCTGGGGATGCATTTGAACGCGACCTTCTAGCTAGCGTACGCCTGGACCAACTACATGTTCTTTTTCTACTTCAATTAGCGTTTCTCGACACCCTGACCGAGCCCGATCCATCTATACTCGACATTTCGGAGCAAATGCTCTCTATTGTAGTGGACAGCATTCTTCTACGAGACCAACTGGTCAACTCTGGAACAGGACTCGTTTGGAAAGTATGTTTATCTACTTCCAGTATCCAAACCTTTACTTACCGGATTAAAACACAATTAGATTGCCCACTTTGGTCTCCCAGCTTCAGGGATTATCCTTCTTTCAATGCTGAAACAACACCGCACACTAACCCAAGGAAGAGACTCATGGTCCAAAACAATACTCAATCTCGGTATCTTTGTTGCGCAGGTCCAGGTAGGGAGCATCGTTCGGCGCGGAGATCCAAACTACGCCTTGATATCAAAAGCGACACAGACGATTGAGCGCTTCCTCGATTCTATACACCGTGAAGGGATACAATCCCCAACGCAACTGCCATCACATTTAGGAGAGAATAGTGATTGGGCTGCATTTTTCAGCCAGGATCTGTGTGATTTCGAGACTGACTTTTGGGAGAACCTCGCGTATCATCCTTCTTTATTGGCTTCGGATCCTAGTTTGCCTCCAATATAGTGAATGAACACAGTGATATACTGGAATAATATACGACGGAATTGTCAATTGCCTAGATATGGAATTGCAACCACTGAAAAGAACAATTCTTGGCATTAATCCTTTCATGTATATCGTGTGGTATATTATATACTACTCGACTATCACATATCAACTCGGGTATGCTTGGTTGGATATTAAAATTGTACAGCATCTGTGGATAATTCCACCCAAAGAATGGCCACATCTGCATCTATAAGTATTTCATGATACGTAGTAAGCAATTGAAGCAATGCATATTTACTGTATCAAATAACCGAGACTTGATAATAAGCAATGTGGTTTAATATAAATCAAGTATATCAAAGAGAAGTCTAATGATGCTAAAATCTACATTGTCTATGTATCATAATCACTTTTGGTCCTTCACCCTTGTCTGTTTTTATTTCCATGTTATAACACCAATATACACCTTGACCAGTGTTAAATCGTCATGGATTGGATCACTTACCTATCTCCGAGCCCCTCTAGAGCTCCTCATCCGGTTCCTCTGGAGAAGGTTGGCGGCTTAAACGACCAAGATAACCTCGCATCGTAGACCACACACCAGACTCTGGTTCAACAGACTTCCTGTTAACGTTAAAAGAGTTGTAGTTTTCATCCATCGGGGTATCACCATCAGCATCCAGGCTTCGTGAATCATTTGACGAGTCACCTAGAGTGGTGAAACTCGTCCATTCGGCTGATCTCTTCTTTCGAGGCTGGGGAGTCTCTGAATCATTTGTGTCATCCCGACGCCGCTTGGTATTGGCACGTTCCATAGTACCTGTGGAAGCATCAGTGTGAGGAGATGAAACTTCCGTAGGATCGGCTACATAGTAGCCAGGTCGCGGGCTGCCTGGGATAGGGTACTGAGGGACGCCCGGCTCACCCACCGAGGGAAGATCCGGAAAACCAACATTAGGAGGAATTACAGGGTACTGGGGGACGCCCGGCTCACCCACCGAGGGAAGATCCGGAAAACCGACATTAGGAGGAATGACAGGGTACTGGGGGACGCCCGGCTCACCCACCGAGGGAAGATCCGGAAAACCGACATTAGGAGGAATGACAGGGTACTGGGGGACGCCTGGCTCACCCACCGAGGGAAGATCCGGAAAACCGACATTAGGAGGAACGACAGGGTACTGGGGGACGCCCGGCTCACCCACCGAGGGAAGATCCGGAAAGCCAACATTAGGAGGAATGACAGGAAGATGAGTAGGAGTTGGGTTATAGCCAAGGAGAGCAAGAACATCTTCATCATGAAAACTAGGAGTTGAGTCCCTAGTAGGAGCCTCACCAGAATCTGCCCCAGTAATTGCCTCCATAGGAGCAATATCATAGTCGAGAATAGTAGCGAAAGCAGGAGTATACCTAGGAGTAGGGGCAGGGGCAAGAGGATGGCCATAAGCACGAGCGGGGGGACCGGGAATAGGAGCGGGAGCAAGGGCGGGGGGGAGGAGCAGGAGCAGCCTTAGGAGCAGGAGCAGCCTTAGCAGCCTTAGGAGCCTTAGGAGCCTTAGGAGCCTTAGGAGCCTTGGGGGCAGGAGCAGCCTTAGCAGCCTTAGGAGCCTTAGCAGCCTTAGGAGCCTTAGGAGCCTTAGGAGCCTTGGGGGCAGGAGCAGCCTTAGGAGCAGGAGCAGCCTTAGCAGCCTTAGGAGCCTTAGGAGCCTTGGGGGCAGGAGCAGCCTTAGCAGCCTTAGGAGCCTTAGGAGCCTTAGGAGCCTTGGGGGCAGGAGCAGCCTTAGGAGCAGGAGCAGCCTTAGCAGCCTTAGGAGCCTTAGGAGCCTTGGGGGCAAGAGCAGCCTTGGGGGCAGGAGCAGCCTTAGGAGCACGAGCAGCCTTAGGGGCAGGAGCAGCCTTGGGGGCAGGAGCGGGAATAGGAGCGGGAGCAAGGGCGGGGGGGAGGAGCAAGGGCGGGGGGGAGGGGCGGGAGCAAGGGCGGGGGGAGGAGCGGGAGCGAGAGTAGCAGCCTGGGCAGTAGGACGGGCAGGAGCGCGAGCGCGAGCGCGAGCACGAGCACGAGCAGCAGTAGGGGCAGGAGTACGGAGAGGAAGACGGGCAATAGGAATAGAACCATTAGAAAAAGCATTAGGAATAGCAGGAGCAGGAGCAGGAGCAGGAGCAGTAGCAGGAGCAGGAGCAGGAGCAGTGGTAAAAGCGAGAGGAGGAGCAGGAAGAGGAGCAGGCGCTGGCGGAGGGCGAGGGGCAAGACCACCTGAAGCAGGAGGGAGAGGGACAACAGGGACAGGGTCAACAGTACGATAATTTGGATCCACAGCTCTCCATGCAGGATCAGTGAAGCGGAAAAATTTAAGAAGATCGAGCAGACGCTCGGTGAGGTCCACCCGATCAGGGACATGGGCGAGAACTAGAGCAGGAAAGTCGTTGTGCCTATCGGTGATCCTACGTCTAATAACGAATCCCTTCTTACCTGAGAGTGCTGAATTCCAATGACCTCCCTTTGAAAAAAAGTCATACAAGAAGGGATTATAGATCTCTCGAAGCAAGTGGGCAACGGCCTGAGCACCTCCAGGGTTCGTGGCCATATTAATACCAATTGCTTCAAAAAATGATTCTTCATGCTTTGTGTTCATATTCAGTCTCATACTTGTGAAAAATCGAGCCATCTTGAAGGAGATGACCAGAGGCGGTTTTTATAGAACTTAGACTGTTGGATTGTTGGATTGTTGGATTGCTAGATTGATGGATTGTTTGTTGGCTTGTTTAAATGACTTGGAATTGATAGGAATGGTTGGAAATAATGGTGGTTTAGGTAGGATTCCCCGACTGCTAAATACTCGAGAAACCCTTTGTGTTACTTGTCAGATTATTGGAAGCATGGCCTATACGTATTATAAGACACATAAAGGGACGCATTCTATTCTAATATCGTTCTTTTTAGAACAAAGCAACGTATTTATGAGATACTTGGCAAATCCAAACAATCTCTTTATCGACCACGGGCTAATTAAGGATATTACTTACAAGCTATTGTTTTCTTTCTCATATAAAAACAAAGGAGCACAAAGGAAGATATTTTCTATAATAGGATGACATCCACAGCCTGCCCAGGTGATCTGCTACAGCATACACAAAGGGCAAAGGTTCTGAACATCATAGACATAGACGTTTTAATCAACCACCATGCCCATTGCGGCAGCGAATTATGGTGCACCATACCGATGGCCCGAAAACACGCTTTGAAGTTCTCACTTGACGATTGCGAGGACAAAGCAGGCCTCGTAGATGGAAGCACCCCGGCCTCAATTTAATCCTGCAATGTATGTGTAGCCAGCGGAGCCTGCATAGCCCATCGACTGCCGTGGATAAGACCGTCCCGATCGACATCGGTGTCAAAGTTGGGGTAAATGAAGGGAGGATCGGTGAGTGGTGATGATCGAATAGTAACGGTGCCTCAAGAAGTGGATGTTAGTAACATTGCCGAGGTCATGATATAACTGCCATCTATTAGCAAACTTGGCACCCCGAGCCATTCATACTTAATGTCTCGAGCAGAGATCTTCCGGGCTTTCAGGGGGAATTTGTCCGCTTGGAAGCTAAATCTTGCATTGTCGTTTTCCATGGCTGACTGTAACTCATCCGTCAGTATATCCTGGTTAGTTGCCCAGCTTCCGGGAAGCCTTTCAAGTAGGCTGCATACGCAAAATCAGGGTTGTCTGGTGCTAGACCGCACTCGGGGTCACAAATTATATAACTACCAGAAAACCTTGTTATATAACTAAATGGTAGACACAAAAATGATCGTTGACGTCCTTACCGACCTCTGGCATCGATTATTGTAAGAATAACATGCTAAGATAATCCTTTGGTCGAATTCCAGGGAACCTAAGGATATGTGGTGCCCGGAGGGTGCTGTGTGGATGACCTCTTTATATGCATCAAAGCGCCGAGCATCTGATAATATCACCCCACCAACCCGGGTTTTGGGGTTGTTCTACCATAAACTCGAGTCGATGAGAAATCGATGAACGATAGTTTCAGTATAAAGTCGTAATCCCTCTAGGTGGTGCACATTCCTCGCTCTTTATCGTTTCCCCCTGTCTCAGGTCTCCAAGAACTCATTAACACCGTATAATTTCCCTGATCAGCCATCTGGGTCATACTGAACTCTGATCTCCCCCCTCCCCCATTTCTATATCTTTTTGATGGGCTCCCAAAGACGAACACTGCCGCCTGGGGTCACTCTTAGAGACTGAAGTAATATAACATGGTCTATCAAATCTAGGTTACTTGAGGTCCGCTTTGGTGTTTTATAGGTCTAGCCAAGTTCCGAGCCAAGTAGAGAGAAGCTCCTGGAATGGTCTGGACATTGGAATTGTGGCGGGGTCACTTCCTGCCTAGAAGACAAGGATGCTGAGGGACGAGTCCCATTGCTTAGGGCGGGAGACAATCACGCACTTCGTTAGACCGCTTGGGCACCTATAGCATTATCATTGGATTCCACAATAGAGTTCAATCGGTCGGATGTATTATTCCGAATTTCATACTATATAATATAGCCCCATATATCCAAGGTCACTATTTCGCGGCTGAAATGGAGGGTTGGGCACCATCATGTGATCCGGGTATATCCGATGCTGACTGCAGTCTTACACGCTCTTTGTCATATGCAGGAATCCGAAGGATTCACCTCCTTTTCAGCTTTACGAGATAATCAAACGGGCAATCAGCCACATGTAATAAAACATACGCTATATTTCCTCTTCTACTCCGTATTCCCTTACGACCAGGTTGTATGTCGCATGACCCGAAAGGCCCAGGCTTGGCCTACATGATCATCCTTCTTCCCCCGCATGCGCTTTGACAGGGTAGATTCAGCGATGATCGATGATCATTGTCAGACTGGAGTTGATTTTGAAATTTGGACAACTGTCTTGCACTCTTCCGAGCCTCGCTTGACGCTCTTTTGTCTATATGGGTAGCGCCGCAACTTACAAATGTAGTATAATGGCGTCCTGCCTGTGACTTGGCTTCGGGGTACTCTGATCCCGTTTAGCGTCTAGTGCTGACGGGTGGTATAATGTGGCTGTCCTTAGAGAAAGCCACAAGTTTACTTTGGGGCTGATCTGCAGCTGTGCTCACCCCACGGGGAAAGTTTGATCTCTTTTTATATTCTGTGGGGTAGCCAATTTTTCCTAGTCTCCCCCTAAACTTCTTTTAAACGGAAAGCGAGAGATATCCTGAATCCGAGAAAGAAAAAGCTACCAAAAAGCTCCTCATCATGGGTGAAAAGTCGTCTAAGGACGCTCCTCCTCACTATGAGCATGCGATCTCAGCCAAGACAGAGCTGGATGAGGCCGCCAACCCAGATGCACCTGAGCGCCGCCAGGCGACCGGTATCAACATCGTTCAGAATCCGTTGACGGTAAGCCTACAACTGAAGATCCCCATATTTCATGGTCATGTCGAGCATGAACACTAACCATATTTATGCCCACAGCGTAGCTCCAGGGAGCAGGCTATTATCGATGCCCAGGCGTACGCAGAGTCGCATAATATGAGCGAGTACGCCGACCTGTTTGGTCGGGCTGCTGTCGTTGCGCGGAGCCCCAAAGAATTCCCATCGGCTCCGGAGCTTGATGAAGAGGAGCGCACCGCACTCGCATACGAGAGAGACCACAAATGGCATGGCCCGTTTATGCTTTGGTACTCAATTGGGCTGTGTGCTGTCGGAGCCGCCACACAAGGATGGGATCAGACTGGATCTAACGGAGCCAACCTGTCCTTCCCCGAGGAATTCGGTATTGCTGGCAAGGGAAAAGATGAATGGATCGTGGGAATCGTCAACTCTATTATCTTCTTGACCGCTGGTCTTATGTAAGTTTATCACCAGTGAGGGTCCCTCTCCTTCTACGTTTGGCGATTGACTTTGTACATAGTGGCGCTTGGATTGTCGATCCACTTAATCACTATTTGGGCCGACGAGGTGAGATTTTCGTCACTGCTCTCTGTCTCACTGCCACGCCCATCGGCTCTGGCTTTGCACAGTCTTGGCAAGGACTATTCGCTGCGCGATTTGTGATGGGTATCGGCATTGGTGCAAAGAACGCTACGGTACCTATCTACTCGGCTGAGATGGCTCCAGCCAGAACTCGGGGTGCTCTTGTCATGTTCTGGCAACTTTGGGTTGTAGCCGGTTAGTATCTCTCATCCCTCATCAGGAAGCATAACTAACCTCTAGTGCAGGTATTTTCTTGGGCTTTGCTGCCAACGTCATTGTCAAAGACATCAAAGATATCGCTTGGCGTCTCCAGCTCGGTTCCGCATTTATCCCATCTTTCATCCTCGGCGTTGGCATATTCTTCTGCCCAGAGTCTCCTCGCTGGCTTATGAAGCATAACAGGCACGCTGAAGGATTCCAGTCGATGTTGCGGTTGCGAGCTCACCCGATTATCGCTGCGAGAGACTTCTATTACTCATACGTTATCTACGAAGAGGAACTCAAGGAGGCACGGGGTGCAGGCTATTTCTCCCGTCTGTGGGACTGTTTTGCCGTGCCGAGAATCAGACGGGCTAACTATGGTGCCTCGACTGTTATGATTGCGCAGCAAATGTGCGGTATTAACAGTAAGTTATCTCTCGTCTCATCAGAGTAGCCATTGATAACACATTTCAGTCATTTCGTTCTACAGCTCAACCATCTTCCGGGATGTCGGCTACACAGAAGACCAGGCCTTGTACGCGTCGCTTGGCTACGGTGCTATTCAAGTCGTGTCCACCATCCCTACTTTGTTCCTGATCGATACCAAAGGCCGAAGAACCCTGACCTTGATTGTGAGTCGTTTCAGAATTCTTAGCAGAATATTACTGACATGTTCTTACAAAGACATTCCCCTTGATGTGCATCTTTCTGCTAGCCGGTGGTCTCTCTCTTTTGAACAAGACAGAGAACCACGCCGCAATGATTGCACCAGTTGCCCTGTAAGTTTGGTCATTATTTTCACTTTGTCTGAGCATAGGCTGATCGATATCTTCTATTAGGTTTGTGTATCTGTTTACTATTGCCTACTCCTTAGGTGAAGGACCAGTCGCTTTCCAATATTCTGCTGAGGTATTCCCGACTATTCAGCGAGAACAAGGAATGGCGTGGGCTGTTTGCATTAACAACACTTTTGGTGGGTATTCCAAATATCAAATCCATCGAACATCGCGTTAACAATATCTCCCCCAGCTGGCGTCCTTAGTCTAACATTCCCTCGAATGATGACTGTGATGACCAAAACCGGTGCATGTAAGTTGATAGACTTTTGAATAGCGATGTCCAAATTGCTGACCTTTGCTTTAGTTGGCTTCTATGCTGGTCTTAACCTGATCGCTTGGTTTATGATCTTCTGCTTCGTCAGAGAAACCAAGCAGTTGACGCTAGAAGAATTGGATCGTAAGTCAACTCTCGAATACCATGATCAATCATATACTAACGTATATTTCAGAGGTGTTCTCGGTGCCGACCAAGACATTCATTCACTATGAACTAACTGTGTGGCTTCCTTGGTGGATCAAGCGATATATCTTCAGACAGAAGATTGAAAGGCCACCACAAATTATTGCATCTGGCGAAGGGGTCAGCTAAACTCTCACAGATCTCCATATTCTGGATATCTTCAGACTGCAACTGTTGGATTGATGCCTTTTCTATCACTGGTAACTTGGTTATTTTCCATATTCTATGTACCCCTATGAGGTAGAGTGACCTACATGACAACCACAATAATCCCGGTCGTTACATATGCAGAATACATTTCTAGTGTTGTTTAATGACTGTTCAAGCAGTGATATCGTAGTTTATATCAGGTACATGTAGGGTAGTAGTAAAGAAAGGGGGTCCTTCGGCAGGAACGAACGAGCACGCCTTCAAATTTCCAAACGTCTGTCAAAAAGACTTCCCGTCTACTTTCATTGACATATATATATATTCTTCTCGACTTGTATTTTCATATCCCATCAATACATCATGGACCAAACATGGGCAGAATGGCACCATATGATCGAAGAAATAGGAGGAAACACAAACACAGGAAACCTAGAAGCTTCAAGCTCACGTATCCAGTTTACACGGCCAGAGGGACAACTTCCACCACCCCCGTCCAACATCCCGCTGCTCCCATGTCTTGAGAGCGTCCATCATGTTCTCACCCCATCGTTAAGGGTCGATGTACGTTTGTTGATTTGGCCAGAGGCCTGGTTTCCAGGGGATGACCGACTGTGCCCTCTTTGGCTCCGACCTTGGATTCAATTTCCCCAGCTCCAAGAGGAGATGTGGGACAAAATTCTCGGCTCGTCCGACCTTGTCAATGCGTGTGTTTTTCCCCCGCAAGCCTCCATTCAATACACTGCTCAGCTCCTACAATGGTACCCGGTGCATTCGGAAGACACATTGAAGCAATTTGGACACAGAACACTGGACGATTTCCTCGGGATGATTGTTAATTTGATAGAACAAAAGGACACACTGCGGTACAGGTTCAATGTTCGCGGACAACTGAACTTCGACCGCCCGTATGATTGCTGCGTTGCTGTTGCGAAATTCGGATTCGAAGAGCCGGCGTACGCAGTTTTGTATATTCCCTCGTTTTGTCTGACGGTACCTGAACTGGTTGCAGGGTTGCACGCGACATCACCGCTAAGGTCCTTCGACAATGAACCGAATACATTTGAGGAACATGCCACCTCCATAGTGGTCCATGCGATTGTTCGAGTCTACTCGAGAATGATTTGCTCTGGGCGCCGGTATGGGTATATCTACACAGGAGAGGCCTTGGTATTTCTTCACATCCCTTTGGATGACAGTAGCGTGGTCGAATACTATCTCTGTGTTCCCGCGCAAGACGTTGAGTCTCATGGCTATGATCCGCATTCAAACTGGGTTCGCCATACGGCTTTGGGCCAAGTCCTCGCCTTCGCACTGCAATCTTTAGATTCCACTCCACCATCGCAGGAATGGCAAGACGCAATTTATCAATCTTATCGCCCTCTCGAAGAAGATTACTCAATCCTTATGCCTCAAGCCCCGGATGACCTTCGACTCGGCCCACCAGCAGAGTTCACGTATGAGAACTCATTCTGGCCGAGATTCTGGGATAATCTTCTACGTGCAAACATACCCAAGGGGGATGCTGGAAGCTCTGTTCCACAACCATCTGAGTCAGAAGTTTTCAGGCCTTACTGTACCCAGGCATGCCTCCGAGGCACTTTTGAAAAGGATCTTTTGGATCAAAACTGTCCGAACGCTGATCAGCACGGCGTAGTAAAACACCAAATCAGCTCACAGGAGATCTGCGACAGGCTGAATGAACAACTTCGAGCGAATCGATATAGAGGATTCCAGCAGCTGCACATCACCGGTCGAGTCTGTTATCTGTTAAAAGCAACATTGCTGTCTCATGGGTACACAATGTTGATCAAGGCCACCAGTATGAAACGGTCGCGCAGGATTCATGCGGAATTGAAGAACTATGAGAATCTGATGTCGCTACAGGGTTGTCAAATCCCTGTATGCCTTGGGATGTTTTCACCCAAGATCCCATATTGGTATCACGGGGTTAGAATGGAATACATGCTGCTTCTCAGCTGGTCTGGCATTCGAACGGAGGAACATGCGACCCTTGAAACATGCCAGTTCCTTGAACAGGAGATGCGGAAACTCCAAGACAAATTCCAAGAACACGGAGTTATTCAGAGAGATCTAACCTTCCGCAATGTGCTGTGGAATCCCATGTCACAATCCTTTGTGATGATTGACTTGGAAGATTTGAAGTATGTGAATGGCGTTTCAGGGAGCCCCGAGGGGCATGGAAGCCAACATACCCTATCCAGTGGCTACCTTGCAGATGATGACAGGTAACCTTCGATTTTGGGTGCTCACAAAAGATATCGTGAGTGATAGTTGGTCGAGTTGGAAGATGATGAGGTAACGCAAAAGATTCTATATTTATTCCCAGCACTATCTTTATTCTGGGTGCCACATTCCTTTTTGCCTGTAAAGTCCCTTCAATCCTGTATAGTATGGTTGCAGTGGCCAGAAATAAAAACCGAACTAGGGATCACTCCAGATCAAAAGTCTATTAGACATGTATTTATTAGCACTGGATGATCACTTCACATCGCGAATGAACATACCATATCAAACCAGACACCACCAGCAAAGGTAGATTGACTTTTTCCCTGACTTTTAAACCCAACACTCTCATAGAAATTCACCAAGTAGTCATGCGCAATAAGCACAACCTTGCTTGCTCCAAAACACCCCCTCCCAAGATGCTCAAGGTACGCCCGGACGAGAGCTCTCCCAACCTTCTTGCCCTGATACTCCGGCGAAATAGCAACAGAGTGAATCGCGATGCTATCACCATACTTGTGATTCCCGATTAACTCATCATTGACAAAAACAGGCTCATCATCCAGTGATCGCCAATTCTCCGGCATTTCCATCGATCCATCGGTGACACGCGTATAAGGAGAGCGGACTGCAATGACATGTCCAATGAGTGTAGGTGAAGCTGCGTCTTGCTCATTCTCAACAAATAGTCCCAGGCATAGCTCTGGGCAAGCTCCCAGACGATAACAGAACTTATTCCGTGTCAGAAGAAACAATCTTGGAAATTACTTATTCGGTTCAGGCTCTGGCTTACCTTTTCCTCGGAGCATCGCTCCGCCTCTGTAAAGGCTTCTTCGACAGCTACGCAGATCTTCACATCTTCTTTGCTCAGAGTCCGGGTGAATGCATTGGTTCCGCCGAGGCTTGGAATGTGGATGTTGGTCTGGGTCATGATGAGATGCTTAAATTGATTTGCGAGGACAGGTAAGAAATTGTAATAGAAAATAAATATAAAGTAATCTAACAAGAGCCAAAAAAGATAGACTCAATGCCCTTTTAATGAGTCAAGGGCCATTTCTATATCGGCGGGTGAGTAAGACAACTCGGAGTATTCGGACCGGAGTGTTCGGCGTAGACAACCCCGTGGAGAACCTCAAACGGTCGATCACTACGGAAAACGTGAAATCCGGAACAAAAGTGGATGATGTTGAACGTTATTGACTTCATGTATTCCTTGCAGATGGTCAAGGAAGCTCACGCCTTATCAACTACACCGCTACTAAGCCCCATAATGAATATCATACACTATATCGTGTTCAATTGTTGCTTCCGTAGAAGTCATGTTTCTACGATATATCTCACTAAAGTTGAGATATGAAAGATGGTAGGTAGCTCGGGTTTCATAATTTGTTGTTGCCCATCATTGTTAAGAAAATTGGGAACTAGCCCTGGTGGCCTTGCATTTAAGAGGTAGCTTGATCGGAGATGAGATAATGTACAGATTGAATTGTTAATATTACATGCTGTCGCTTCCAGTCATTCACAGTTTTGACAACAAGGACTCGATAAACGTGCGTAGTCCATCCAACGACACATCCTCCTTAACGCCCAAGCGACGGCACTGCACCTCCAAAGTTTCATTCTTCTTCCACCCATTGCCAACGACAACAATAACAGGGTATCCAATCAAATCTGCGTCACCAAGTTTCCAGCCCATACCCTTGTCGCGGTCATCGAGGATAACATCGACAGGGGCCGTGGCGTCGCCGGTAAGACTATCATAGACCTGATCCGCAACGGTTTCCAGCCCCTTTCCTGAAACCACCACAACCTCGTAGGGTGCCATAGCACGTGGCCAATTGAGTCCCTTGGAATCAGCAAGGCGGTTCGCCACTGCGGAGATCATACGCGAGACGCCGATACCATGGCATCCCATCTGCATGGGCACGATTTGTTCCTTGGCCGATGATTTCGCACCTGCATCCGCAGCACCCTCGAGAAGAGCAGAGTTGACAGAAACAGACGCATTCAAGACTTTGCTGTATCGCGTTCCCAAGTGGAATGTGTGTCCTAGTTCCACGGCAGAGTGGCTAGTCAAGGATCCATGCGCGCACTGCGAGCACTGGTCTCCGTCATGCACACGGACAAGGCTGAGTTTGTTTGAAGTCCCAGGGAATTGGTCCAGTTTGGAGTAATCTATGTCTGAGGCCGTGCAGCCAACCTCCTGGAGCAGATCACTCAACGGCGGACGTTGGTATACCCGGACCTGTGAATCATATAGATCCAACACGCGCGGCTTATGGGTGGAAGACTTGTTCGCCTTTACGTGGGCGGTCCATCGCTCTAGTGGGTTCTCCACGCTCAGATCGAGGTCAATACCAACGGCGGTGGCCACCGCATTGACGGCGTGAGAGTTGACATGGCGTTCGACGGGCTCTGTGGCGCCGTTCTGCATTGAAAACTTGGGGTGCCAGCTCCGCACGATGGTGTTGCTATCGTGAGAGATAGCCATCCACATGCCAGTTGAGATTGTGGGTCCCCCTTCGACAAGTGTATCATAGGTTTGGAAGCCAGGTGCCGTGGTCTGCTCAGACTCATTAGCGCTGTGCGTCTTTCCGTCTGCAAGTTCTTCATTATAGACGTGGTCACAGTGTGAGCAGCTGACCACTTCATCCTCGCCCTTGGGGCTGATGAAGTGGTACTCATGGCTTAGTGAGCCACCCATATTCCCCGAGTCTGCTGCCGCGACCAGGTAGGGAATCTTGAGTTCGTTAAATAATTGAGTATAAGCATGTTTGACTGCGTCATATGTTTTCAGTGCTTCGCTGACACTGTAGTCGAATGTGTAGAGGTCTTTCATAATGAACTCTCGCCCGCGAAGCAGGCCCTGTCTGGGCCGGGCTTCATCCCTGTACTTTCGCGCTTCATTTATAATTCCGTCAGTGAAGTTCACAAGCAACAGACAAAGAAAGATTCTAACATATTTGATACACCCGCAGAGGCAGGCTCTTGTATGATGTCGTTAGATTCCCCACAAGTGTTGTAATTTCTTCCTCGTGTGTTGGGGCCAAGAGAAATGGGGTGTCTTTCCGATCGTTGAATCGGAATAGCTAGTATGCTTGTCAGTGATATTACGAAAAACAGTGGGTATGATCAACCCACTTCGGAGCCGTCGGTCAGTCTGCCAGACTGTCCCCATAGTTCTTGCGAGGATATCGAAGACAAAGAGACCTTGGATGCGCCTGAATTTGCTTTAGTTACCATCTCATGACAAATATAGGGTATATTTCCATACCGAGTGAGCGCATATGCTTGTCAATCAGGCGCTCAAGCTTATCTTGAACGCGTAGACCAAGTGGGAGTAAATGGAACACTCCAGAGTATGCCTAGAGGGCCATCAGAGATATTTACTGGGATATAAAGATGTGACTGCTCACCTGTCGGAGGAAACCACCTCGGACTAGCAAGTCATTGGCATCCTCTAGATCTCCGTTAACATCTGGTGATAGTCAATTCCTATCGGGGTTCTGAATGGCGTACCCTTTTCACCATCAACGGGCTTCTTGGAAATTCCACCAGTAGGGATCCAGATATTTGAAACACGGCTTCTGCCGTCAACCTACATCGAGTCAGTACTCACTACTCACTATCAAGGGTATTTAACCAATCTTTGGAAGCGCGTACATGAAGATTGCATCGCTGAACGCGCGGGCTCAACGCTAGCCGCCGCCCGGCTATGGGACCTGAGAGAGGTCGTAGCCTAGAAATCATCGATCAAGATATCAAGATATTGTAAGGCGTCGAAAGCTATTATTTTGGCAATTGGGCTGTTGGCTAAACACAGAATAAATTGTAGAGCCAGCCGAATCTCCCTTCTCCGATGTTTCTTATCGCGTTGGTCCGAGCGCCCCGATAACCCGCCGCAAAAGATTTCTCCGTTCAATTTTCTTTCCTCCATCAGTCAACCACAAACAAAACACACCATGGCTGCAGGGAAAGGAAAGCGCTCTTCGGGCGCTAATGAGATTGCTCCTGCGGCGAGCGTCTCAGCTCCCGCTGCGGAAACTATGCCATTCATGCCGGACGAGAGCGCCTTCACAGGCCTACGACAAAAAATCGAACAGCGTTTGAAGAACCAGAATCAGAGCACCGGGAAAGGCAAGAAAGATAATACCAAGCCATCGGCCCCTACCCCCAATGTTTCCGCAAACAAAGGAAAACAATCACCCGCCAAGCCCGGCCGCCCTCAAGATTCTGCGCAAGGCAAGAAGCGGGATCGCAACGGCGAGGTGATTGCTCGCGAACAGAACAAGGGTGGAATTTCCAAGCAAGAAAAGCCCAAAGCTAGCAAGAAGGGCAACAACGACGACGAAACACTGCGCCAAGAAATTCTAGCTATGGGTGGTACAGAGGAGGATCTTGATCTACTTGATGGTGTCGACTCTGAGTCTGAAGTTGAGGGCGAGACCGGCAAGGTTGACGATGATCTTCGGAAGCAGCTCTCTAGCATGTTGGAGGCCTCAGGCCATGTCGTGCCCGAGGATCTGGCGGATGAAGAAGTCGAAGACGTCGAAGAGGAAATAGAGAGCGAGGATGATATCGAGGATAGCGAGGACAATGCAGAGAGCAGCGGGCCTGAGTCCGATATTGAGGAAGCCCCCGCTCCGAAGGCAAAGCAGTCTGACTCAGTAGTACCCAAGGAGTACTTGAAGCTGGTAAGTTGTGGACCGTCCTGGCACCAGAACGCTTTTTGCTAACATGATCAATAGAATGTTCTTCCTCGGTCCGACTGGTATAATATCCCTATGCCCTCCTCCGCCGGCGACACAAAACATATGAACGCCTTACCCCGCCATCTTATGGAGCGCGTCCACGAGCTAGCCAACAAATTGCTACAGGAAGAAAATGAAGAGTATGCGGCGGCCCAGAGAGCATCTGCTTCTTCTTCCCACAAGTTCTACTCCACTATTATGGCGTCTGGTACCCTGAGCGATAAAATTTCCGCCTTGACTCTTAACGTTCAAGAGTCGCCTTTGCACAACACCAAGGCACTGGAGACCTTGATTGGTCTTGGAAAGAAGCGTAGCCGTGCGCAGGCAGTTGAAGTTCTGCGATCGTTGAAGGATATGTTCGCGCAGGGTACCCTGCTTCCCAGCGACCGACGATTGAAATCTTTCACCAATCAGCCTGGACTCGTCGCAGCATTCCAAGGCGCTGGTGGGCGGTGGAACGAGAAAGACCCTCTTCCGGGTGGTTTGAAAAAGAGCGAGCTGATTGTGTGGGCCTTTGAAAACATCGTGAAAGATCAATTCTTCGAAGTTATCAAGATTCTCGAGATCTGGTGCAATGACGAGATTGAATTCTCACGGACCCGTGCCGTCAGTTACGTCTACGAACTTCTCAAGGAGAAGCCCGAGCAGGAGACCAATCTTCTACGACTTTTGGTCAATAAGCTCGGAGATCCCGGCAAGAAAATTTCCTCTCGGGCATCATACTTGTTGCTGCAACTCATGCAGTCGCATCCCATGATGAAGCCGGTTATCATCAAGTCAGTGGAAGAAGTGCTGTTCCGCCCTGGCCAGAGCTCTCACGCGAAGTACTATGCTGTGATCACTCTGAACCAGACCATCTTGCGACTGAAGGAAGAAAAGGTGGCAGCTCAGCTGCTGGACATCTACTTTGGACTGTTCCTCGTGCTTTTGAAGCCGTCCCACCAGGGCAAGCCTGCTTCCAACGGGAAGCCCGGTCCCAAGGGGAAATACAACAAGCATGGAAAGGGACCGAAGGGCAAAGGCGACGACGATGCTTCCAAAGGACAGGCCCAGGACGATGAAATGCGGGAGAAGCTGATCTCTGGTGTCTTGACTGGTGTCAACCGTGCTTATCCTTTCACTGACTCTGATTCCGAACGGTATGTTTTCTTTCTAGCACCATATCCCTCCATACAGTATACTAACTTCTCCTAGCATGTCCAAACACCTCGATACCTTGTTCCGTATCACACACTCCTCGAACTTCAACACCAGCATTCAAGCTCTCATGCTGATTCAACAGCTCACGGTGTCTAACCAAGTCTCCGGCGACCGCTTCTACCGCACTCTGTACGAGTCCTTGCTGGACCCCCGCGTGGCCACCTCATCAAAGCAATCTCTCTACCTCAACCTCCTATTCAAGTCCCTCAAGAATGATCTGAACGTCCGCCGAGTTAAGGCATTCGTGAAGCGTCTTGTTCAAGTACTTGGCATGCACCAACCCTCTTTCATCTGCGGTGTCTTCTTCATGATCCGCGAGCTCGAGAAGACATTCACAGGCCTTTCGTCCTTGGTTGATCAGCCCGAGGAGAACGACGATGATGATGAAGAGGTCTTCCGTGACGTCCTCGATGAGGATGACGAACAACCGGAATCTGCTCCTGTTGTCGAAGCCAAGAAGCAGAACAACGTATACGATCCCCGCAAACGAGATCCCGAGCACAGCAATGCCGACCGGAGTTGTCTTTGGGAATTGCTGCCTTTCACAACTCACTTCCATCCTTCCGTCTCTCTCAACGCTACCAATCTGCTTGAGCACAACGCCATGAGTGGCAAGCCAGATCTGACTCTGCACACTCTCACACACTTCCTCGACCGCTTCGTGTACCGCACGCCCAAGGCCAACGCCAGCTCCCGCGGTGCTTCTATCATGCAGCCCCTGGGTGGTGGTGACGCCGTCGACCGGTTGGTGGAGGCTGGTAAAAAGACACAGAACCAGCTGCCGCTCAACACCGAAGCCTTCTGGAAGAAGAAGGCCAACGATGTTGCCGCGGAGGATGTCTTCTTCCACGAATACTTCACTCGTGTCAACAAGGACAAGGAGAAGGTGCGTTCCAAGAAGAGCAAGGACGTCGATGCCGAAGATCTGTCCGACGAAGGTGTCAGCGGAGACGAGGACGAGATCTGGAAAGCGCTTGTCGACTCTCGCCCCGAGCTGGAAGCCGACGAGGACAGCGACGACGATCTCGACATGTCCGACTTGGAGTCCGCCTTGGACTCTGGCGAAGATGGGGAAGGTGCGGAAGAGGACGACTCCGACGGTGGCGTCATCTTCAACGACGAGTCCGATGTTCCTTCCGACGAGGAAATGGCCGAGTTCAGCGAGCCCGAGGAAGCTGCGCCCCCAGTCAAGACCAAGAAGGCCGCCAAGAAGCCCTCCAAGGACGCCGAGGAGGACTCGGACGACTTCGACATGGATGTCTCGGACGACGATGCCTTCATCGACAGCGACGAGGACCTGCCATCGGATATGGAATTGGGTGGAGTCGATGTCGAAGAGCCCGAAAAGCCCGCCGATGCTGCTGCCCCCGAATCGAACCGCAGCAAGCGTCGCAAGCTCAAGCAGCTGCCTACTTTCGCTTCCGCGGACGACTACGCTGCGCTGTTGGACGCCGAGGAGGATGGGATGTAATCTGTTTATTCTTGCACAGAAACAGTTCGATTATTTCTTACCCCCCTCCGTGGGGGCCAAAATTCCTGTTTTGCATCTGGAGTTGTTACACCTTTTTCTCATTATTCCTTTTTTCTCATTGTTGTCTATATCTATCCTATCTACTATCTATTCCGTCTATGGACGCTGCAGTCAATACAAGATCTTTGGAATATGCCCAGACCTAGACCTAACAAGCCTGCTGATCTATAAACCAAGCCTTACCCCTTTCTCGGCAAAAGTACGTAGTCCTATAGGACAGCTCTGGGATCCAATCAAAGGGGTAAGCTTTATACTGCTCGTAAATTTTGGGTTTCAGCAATGTCTACGGGCGACTATAGTGATCACCATCACATAACTCTCTCATTGGCTAGTGCGTGCAGCCTATTTTATCACCGCCTTCTTGAAGTGAGGTACATTAATTTCAACTTCTCTTTTAGATGTTCTTCTTAGGGTCTTTTTAGTTGTCTTTCCAGTTGTCTTTCTAGTTCTCTTTCTAGATGTCTCTTTATATATCTTTTCTAAGGCATTATAAGGCATCATCTAGGTTCAATATTACTACTAACCTATAGTTAGTTAACTAGTTATAAAGTGGGAGTGGGTCTAAGTTACTGCCAGGCAATATAAACCAATGAGAGAGTTATGTGACGGTAATCCCTATAACCGCCCGTATATGTCACAAGGGATACAGAAGACTCCTTACTCCGTTGCGTACCAAATATCTCAAAACTATATTGTAGTAAAATATCGCGCATCATAAGGTAATAACTAGTGTACAAAAAGTACAAAGTAGATAGGGAACACGGTATTAAATACTCCGTACCGAAGGCACCTAAATAAGCTCCGATCTTTCTGTGGCTTGCAAGCCCCCTAAATCCCTTGACACCACACGGAGTACTCCGTGTGGATCTTGATGCCATCGCTGCGGGTTCGCACGCAAGAGCGGCTGATGGGGCCGAGGGGCCAGAACGTCAGTATTGTTTACCATTTTAATACCAGTATTCGATGTTTTCTTCTGTCAGATATCATACCAGATATGTATCTTGGAATATCTTGGAATACCCACCTACTCCGACGTAACATATTTCCTCTTGCCGGGTGGGGCTTTCCTTAGCTGCCGCTTTTACGACTCCGAGTCAGAGCCTCACCGAGTAAATTTCAGCCCGGGCTCAAATACACCACGTGATAAAACAGGGCTCAGTGATTGTGATTATAAAGTATTATCGAGCAGAAACTTATAGTAATAATATGGATTTCATTAAAGTCAAATACACGCTTAAAGCTCTCTCCCATCCCTCGATTGTGAAGAACGGGGTGCTAGCTAAGACTAATCAAGCAAACGACCAAAAAAACACGTCATTGATGCTCGTAATCTGTTGATGCTCGGTTCCCCGCCGGTAGGATATTCAACAGGGCGGGACTGGTTGATGTTTCGCCGCTAAGAATTGTTGAATCCTTGATTTCTGTGGGAGAATAAACCCTCCTTGAACTAGAGCGTATTGTTTCTGATTATTTTTCCCAACCATATGCTGGAAGTTCTGAAACACCACTGCTAGGGCGGCCGTATCCGATGGGCGGCCTAAACAGAGGTGGGCCCCGAAGTTCCTTCTGCTGAGGCTATCGAACGTTCTGTACGCCACAGAAGAAACGCGTTGCTTTGCTTTCGGGTTTTGTCCCAAGAGTAACCTGTCCCAATCACGGCTGGCCTGCGGAACAGATTCGAGTTGATGGTGCCCCAGCGCTAGTGTTTTGAGTAACGATATAACAGTCTTGTCCATTCCGAATAGCTCGCCCACCCCATCACCGACTGATAGCCAGGAGGGCTGACCACATCAGGAAGCGAACGAGCCAAAATCAAACATAGGTCGTGATTGTAACCGGTGGGGTATGGTTTGTCGTTGTTTGGGGTATCGTACATATGGGTTATAGTTCCGAACTGGTAGAGTTAGAGCTGGGAGTGATATAAGGGTAAAATTGACATGGGGAACATACCGTTCTGTTAGACACGCACGAACCAGGCAGAGTGACGGGCGTTCAACAATCTGAACGATGGAATTTTCGTGTGCGGAGCTGATGTTATTGTGATTCTGTCGGTACGAGATCAACTTGTGAAACATGCCTTGTCGGCCGGAAGATGTTCTCGAGGAAGTGAGTAGAAGTGGCTCGGAAGACGTTCTTGAGGAAGTGAGTAGAAGTGGCTCGATGTTGTGGGTTTACGGATAGTAGGTGATGTTCGAGATCAACTTGTAAACATGCCTTGTCGGCCGGAAGATGTTCTCGAGGAAGTGAGTGGAAGTGGCTCGGAAGACGTTCTTGAGGAAGTGAGTGGAAGTAGCTCGATGTTGTGGGTTTGCGGATAGCAGGTGATGTTCGAGATCAACTTATAAACATGCCTTGTCGGCCGGAAGACGTTCTCGAGGAAGTGAGTGGAAGTGGCTCGATGTTGTGGGTTTGCGGATAGCAGGTGATGTTCGAGATCAACTTATAAACATGCCTTGTCGGCCGGAAGATGTTCTCGAGGAAGTGAGTGGAAGTGGCTCGATGTTATGGGTTTGCGGATAGCAGGTGATGTTCGAGATGATGGAAGAAGAGTGGGTGAGAGTAAGAGGTGGTGGTGGTAATGGTGACGTGGGCGCGATGCATGGTCCGCTGTACACTGTCGAAGGTCCCGCTGGCACTGGCAAATCCCATGCAATGTTGGCGCTCGCCATGATGGACCTAGGTGACGCTGACTTCAAGTATCCGGTGCACAGTCAGGACTTCCCCGGGAATGAATGGTGCTCACTGTTCACCAACTGGCATAAATCCAACGAGGGAGAAGCCGAACCGATCAATATTGTAAGGGGAAGTGGCAAAAGGATGTCATTCCTAACTACCTATGCAGTGGCTATTAGACTAGCTAAAGCGGTGAGACAGGTCATATGACCTTGCCCCGTAATAATGCCCGCTAAAAAAAATAAGGCGACGTCCTCGTCGACCATAGCGCATAGGCCATTAAAGATTAAAACAATACTAAAAATAGAAGGGAAAACTGCCGTCCACTACGTCGTGCCTATTTTAAAGAAGACTAAGTACCCTTAAATTTATCGTCGCCGGCTAATCTAGTGGCCTCGAATACCGGTCGTAAGGTACGCTTATACTATTCTAGACGCGATTATAAATAACGCGCGATATCGTCTACTAATACTACGTATCCGTCTTATATAACTTCTAGCTTATTTCGTAGCTATAAGATCCGACGCGCTTCGGGAGTATTAAGACTTCTATATATACGATCGATATCGTATACCCTTTTTATAACTTTGTTAATACTATCGTAATCTATAGATAGATTGTTATCGAAGTCGCCGAATATTTCGCGAATATTCTTAGTTACCTATAACCTTAGCTCGCTCTTAGCTTCCTATATATACTCCGGCTTATTACTTCTCGCCGACTCGGAATCTATATTAGTAAAGATATATAATATAGGATATCTATTTTCTACGTTATTCTACGCCGCCGCTATATTAATCTAATTAATAGGGTCTAGTATACCGGCTAGATCTAGGTCCTTTAGATAATAATTAATTATAGTAGGAATATACGTAATAGCGGCCTCGTTTCTAAAAGAGATACTTATAATATAAGCGTAAGGCGCTTCCTTAAAACTTTCCTAGTCGATAAGTTATATATCGGTAGAACGCTATACTATACGCGATACGTCCGGCCCTATAAATAGATAGAACCCGATAATATTTACTAGACGCGTTAGGATAAGAATAAGATTATTATATATTAGAAGTAGGTTATTCGTAATATAACGTACGCTCGGTCTCGATTAAAATTTCGACTAGTTATAAGTTTCGGCCTTAATTATTAGATTATTCGGTCCTAGTAGTAGTAATTTATCCGGAGGCGTAACTATTTCGCTAAAGTAAAATCCTCTATACTTTAGGGTATTATATATAAGCTTCTTAGTAAGTAGCTAGATATATTTCTATAGCCGAGATCTAATAAGCGCGTAGTAATTAGAAAATACTATAATAAATAGTAATCTAAACGCCTATATAATAATAGGGTCGCTAATCGGCTAGCGATATAAGTTAATATCTCTATTTAAATCGAAGTCTATAGGCTATCTATTATATCGATTACGTTTAGCGACTATATTATATCCGATAATAAAGAATACTAGTATATCGGATAGTCGTTTCTTAGTAGGTAGCGTAATTAATCTACTATTAGTAGTAAATCTTACTTCGTTATAATATAGTAGCTTAGCCTAATATTACCGGCGATTAAGAGTCTATTAAGCGTTCCTATTTATCGTTATAATATAGTTAGCCTTATTATAGATAGTGTCTATATCTTTATAAAAGCCTTAATATAGTCTTAAGATCCTAATTAATATCGGCTTCTTTAGTATAATAAGAATAGCCGAAGGAAGTATATCTTAAAGAGGAAGGTATATTAAGAGAAGCGTATTAAAGAAGAATCGTTAAAGATACGATAAGATAAGATATAGGCGTAACGGAATAGGTAAATTTAAAGTATAATAAATCCGAAATAAAGCCTAGTAGGGCTTAAAGTAAAGGCTTAAAAGTAAAGTAAAGAAAAGTAAAAGATTAAAAATAATATAAAATCTTAATAACTCCTTAAAACTACTACTATTATATAGTATAACTTATCGTAATCCTATTATTTTTAGTTATTCGCTTACTACTTACTCTCGTATCTCTTAATAAGATAAGGAGTATATAATTGCGTATTAACGGCCGAACGCTAGATATCCTATACCGGCCTAAGATTCTTTCGATAAAATAGATAGTACCGTCGCTTTACGCGCCCTTAGATTCTCGATCCTATAATCTTCTCTATAATTTACTAATCTCCGCTATCCGCGGAGTCTATTAGAGATAAGATATCTAAACTAAATAGCTAATTATATAGGTCCTCGGTCGATAGGTACGGCTCTAGGTACTCGACCGATATAATAGAGTATATTATTTATAATAATAGTAAGGCTAGTTCGTACGTATTTATTAAGACCTTAGTAATCTTAAATAGTCCGGTCCTCTAATCGCTAAATTTATAATATATTTTACTAGGGACATTATACCTCTTATATAGCCTAATATATACTAGATCTCCTACCTTTAAGTCTAGTAGAATATAGTAGCTATTATATCGGGTCTTTATAATATATTATATATAACGAATAGCGTCCGTCGCGTCTAGACGATTAATAATATAGTCCTCTATAAGATTATTAATATTATTCGGACTTAGAGCGTTCGGCTAAAACCTAAATACGATCTTATTTAGGGTCTTTCCTATCGATATATTAAGGGAATTATTATATATACCGATAATCGCGGGAACTATATCTTCTTAGTTATTATATTAACTATCGTCGGTAATAAATCTTATTACGATTTTAATTATCTAATTTATATATTTACTTTATCTATCGCTCTATAGATACTACGCCGTTATTATCTATAGACGGGTATTAAGACGTTTAAAAATAGCCTACTATAAATCCGCGATAAATTTCTAATCCTAGTCTAAAATTATTTATATTAAGATACCCTATCCGGTCGTTATAAGAAAGTTTAATAGCCGTACTACCTATATCTCTATATTATCTGTATCCTTATCTAGTAGAATACCTAGCCTCTTAAATAGTTAATATATTACCGATATATATATATTATTATTATTAGCCGATATAGGTAGTATAATAATAAAGTCGATATAAATATATTAGAACGGTATTATTACTATTTTTATCGGATTTAGTAAATCCTAAGGCTTATATCTTAACGTCTAGTACGTTAAGTACTTTAGGTAATATAAAATATAACTATATAACTTTTTTACTAGATTCTTAATATAGTATTAACACTTTATCTAATAATATATATAATAAAACCCGAGATATTATAAGTTATTATAATTTTCCTAAAATATATCTAATTTTTTTATAATAGGAATATATAGCTATTTAGCCTTTTCTATATCGATAAAAAATAAGAGGTCGTCCCTCCTCCGGAAATAGAATATATTAGCCTTATTAGAATTAATACTATCTAGTTATTTTTAAATACGCGCGAATATTAGGTTTACTAGATATCCTTTCTAAATAGCTTCGGTATACGTTCTATCGATATAGATTATCGTAACGATAAATATATAAGTATCGAAATTAATAACCCTATTAAGTTTATCGTTGTCGCTATATTAGGTATCGTCGTATAGTAACTAAGAAAGGCTATTAGCGATAACGTTTAATTTCCTAAGATAATAATAGATTTTAAGGTTAAACTAGCTTAAGTATTATAACGCCTAAATTAACTGTTTATTTAGCTTATTAATAGAGGACGATCTAAGATTAGTATACCGCGCTATTTTGTAAGTAGCTAAATAATCTATATAGATAACGACTAGAAAATAATAGTCTTCGATTAAATAATACGTCTTCCGTACCGTCTAAACTAAATATACGACCTCGAGCTCTATAGGCTAGTAATTTTTCTTAGCCGATAATAATAACCTACTAAAGAATAAGATTAGCTTAATAGTTATTCGTAGGGGCGGCGCCGACGCCGTCTATTTCTTATCTTATTATAAATAGTACGCTATTACTACGAATCTATCTAAAGATATATCTAGATTATAGTATATATATTTAATCGTATTATAATAGGTATAGATACTCCTAGAATAGATAATCTCTTTTAAATCTAGGAATATCTTTATCTTAACTTCGGATAAGTTAAATATTATCTTCGCTAAAAAAGACCTTCGCTTTTACCCTTAAATAGACGTATTCTTTAATAGGCGCGTCTTCTTATCCGTTAATAGAGCGGCGATCTACGCGTATCTACTAATCTTATTATATAGATAACCGGTCGCGCCTAGAAAATACTCTAAATACGTTAGGTTTATTAGCGCCTTAATTCGCCGAATCGTATCGATCCTATCTTATAAGGTTATTAATCTAAAGCTATCTATATACTACCCTAATAGTCTAACGTCGGGAAATCCTAGAAATAATTTCTTAGGATTTAAGGTTACTATATTAGCGTATAGTATTATAAATAACTAATATAAGTAATAGAGATATTTAGCGAAGGTATACGACTACGTAATAATATTATCGATATATATCCTAACGAATTCTAAGTATCTTAGGATCTATTCCGTTTAGTATTATATATATATAGGATTATTATAGAAGCCTATTAGGGCTATAGTAAAAAATTCCTATCTATAATACGAATTAACTATTAATTTATACTAATTATCCGGATAGACTATTTATTAGTAGAAAAACTAAGTAGCGTCGACGACTATTAAATACTTTATACCTATAATAAATTTTAAGATATCCTTTTACCTTAGTAGTAGATATAAGTCTTTAATTATCTTTTAATTTAATCCTCGTAAGTCGACTACTACGCGTTCTTTTTACTTACCGTTAACGAACCGCTAAATAATGAATATAGGAAATCTAAATAGTATCAGTTTATCGGACTATACTATACGCTATTTCTTATAGAGCCTATCGAATACTTTATTAACTACCGCCTTATCTCTATCGCTAAGCGGATAGATCTTCGTCTACCTTTTACCCTTATAAGCGCCTAATTTTAGTAGTATACGAAGTAATTAGTCTTCTATTATTAAAGCCCTTCCGTACTCTTTAGAGAAGACGTTAGCGAATTTGTCTAATAATATATTAATTATAACCTTCTCCTCCGGCGTACGATAGAATATTATAATCCCGTTCGATATTATAAACTTATTTAGTTTTTTAGTTACTCCGGATACCCCGGGGCCTATAATCGTCCGCCTTTCTTCGGATTCTATAACTAAATCCCGACCGGTTATACTCCGGGTAATTGCTACCTCGTATATATTAAAATAAACCCGAAATA